ACACGATTTTTATACGTGGAAAACCCCTTCGATGTGAAGGATAAAAACCACGGGACTTATAGGGAGTCCGCCCTCTTCTTCTCTTATTATGCAAATTGAGGGTAAAAACACCCAAACTCAGTCTACAAGGATGTCACAGCCCACCAACAACAACATACATAAGAGGCATCAACAATAGAGAAGGAAAATCAGGATTATCACCCAAAAATGCAGCGTCGCACCAGCTGCGATTACAGAAGATCCGTAGCTCCGATTGATGTGAAAATTGAACAGATTGAAGCCCTAAGTGTTGGGAACAACCTCTGAAAATTTCAGCTCAATCCAACGGCTGGATCTCCGGAGATGATCGAATTTGTGCGGCTGGTCTGTAAATTCTGCACCAGCACCTTTCCTCTCTCAATTCTGATATTTTTTTTTCTGCTCTGTCCGTAAGTCCTCTACTGCCCAGCCCTTTTTTTACTCTCCTTTTTTTTTAGTCAACAAAGTAAAAACACAATTGGGCCCTCCACCAAAGAAAAATGGAACCCAAATAAAATGGGCTGGACCCACAACATCAATTCTCTAGCACTTGTCAAAAGCATGATGAGATGAGTATAAGACTGCCTTCCATCTAAACTATAAAGTATTTCAATTTTCATCATTATTGGGGAGACTGATAAACTATTCTTTTTCAATTCTTTGCACTTTCCTCTTATGCCTGCATGTATTTCTCCCTAATGCTATATTTGCTTTTTAAAAAAAGACCTTAGCATGATGGCTTTCCAAAAAATATATACTCTACTAGCCTGTCTCTTGTTTCTTTTGTCTCTTAGAGTGGCGATTTGCTTTTTTATGAAGTAAAGTTGTTAAACTTTGCATAGGGATAACATTTAGAAGATTATAATCCCTGACAACGTTGGGACCCATGCATGGCTTTAGGTTTTTTTTCTTGCTCATTTTAGATCTGTTAGCTTTAAACATGGGAAGAGGAATTTGTAATAGCCTCGCACCTTCTCTTCCAATGAGTCCAATTTTATAAATTACCTTGAGAGCAGAACTCTAGAATATGGTCCAACCTCAATTTTAAATTGCGGTAAAGAGATACCACTGTTGTGTTGGATGCTCCCATTCCACTGAAGCAGCACTTCCATCTGCAGGGGGAGGGGATCTGGAACTAAAGAAGAAGCCACTGCTAACTCTTCTAGTCTTAATAAATCCCCTGCATCATCTATTGCAAAGCACCTAACATATACCTCTGAATTTGGTAGAATTTTTAGAGTCCAGGATATGTTGACGAACTTGGTAGAGTTTTGGAGTTCAGATTTAGGCAAGGTATTATTTAAAAACCCTTTTACATTTGTATATGCTAATTTATTCGATGTGTATAACTTTAAGAATATCAAGTATTTTTTCATGTAGAAAAGAAGCGAAATAGGGACTAAGAATCATGGTAAGAATCGAGTTCCATATTATTCTGGGACAAGAAGTCATGCCCGTGTTCGAGCTAACGAAGAGGTACTTGATACATTATTCGACATCATTCATATTCATTTGGGATGAGTGGAACAAATAAATAACTACACGAACTCACAATTTTTTGCGCTTTGCGAACTGTGGAGCTACTTTGTTAATATCATCTTCTCATTTATCATGTGATAAAAGCCTTATGTGTTTATGTCAATAATAACTGATGTATCTAACATGATTTTTAGGCAAAAGGAAATAAGGTAGACATGCTTGGAACATGGCTCTTGACACATGAGCCAAAGAAAGTTTCAAAACCTGATGATGTTTCAGCTATGAGAAAGGTAAATAAAAATAGGCAAAACCTTAATTTTGCATTGTTATTTAGATAATTATACCCTTATTCATTGGTAATTTATTCATAAGTTTACAAGAGTTAATTCTTAAGGAGTTGGATACTTTGAAAGAATGTAGAAGTTGGTGTGCACCTGCTTATGATGAAGTTTTTGAAAAGGTAGTGGGAGAAGACAAAAATGGATATGCACAAATCTTTGGTATGAGAGTTCTAATTTCTAAATGGTGCGCCTTGAAGAAGGAGAAAGCAAACAGATTGAAAATTGAAGAAGAGCACGAAGAAACAAAAGAGAGACTCCAGAATTTAGAAGATGTAGTATCATTGCTTTTAAATACCCTGGTTAGTCTCTATTTATCATTGTTAACTATCCATATTTCATTTGATTTTTGTTTACTTCATTATATAGTTTAAAGTTATGCCATCTAGCATGAGTGTAAGGTAAATTTGGTGCAAAATTTGTAATTACGTTATCATGTGCTTATATTTTTTTTGCATAGTGTTCAACGGCTAATCAATCTGAAATCGATGACCTTACAATTGATGGTTATACAACCACTGGGAAAAGTCATGATGAGGATTGATGGAACAAAGATGATGAAGCTGAGAGCGATGAACTTGAAGATGAGATGTAGACAGTGACGAGCACTAAAGCTTTGGACTATATCTTCCATATCAATGCATAATTTAATTTAGTTCACTTTGACTGTTTATTCTTTAGCTTGAAACGTACGCAAATGATGAACTAATTTTGAGATGTTGGTTTACTTACTAGTAAATCGGTTAGTTGTAACTCTTTGAAATGTTATCGTATTATGTATTGTTGTTAATACAAGTGTGAGTATTATTTTTTATTTGTCAATGACATTCTTTGATATCACTTAAATAGAGCATGCTGGTGTGAAACATGGTATTAGTAACAGCTATAATAAAGGTTAATGTTGGTCAAAATAAATTGTTACCGACAGAAAAAAATGTTTTGCCCACAACACAATTTTTTGTCGGTAATCTAACTTTTAGCGACAGTTATAATAAATGTTAATGTTGGTAAAAACAATATATTATCGACAGAAAAGAAAGATTTACCCACACTATTTTTTGTCGGTAATCCATGTTTTAGCTACATATATGTTTTGTCGGTACTCTTCCCTTTTTTAGCGACATCTTTTGTGTGTCGCTATTACACTAGTTTAGCGACAATATATTTTATCTGTTGGTAATACTTTTACTGATGGAGTTTTTAGCGACAGGGTAGCGACAGACAATTATCTGTCGGTAAAAGCGAGTAGCGACAATCGACAGAAACCTTTAGCGACATATTAACCCTTGTCGGTATTACCTCCTTTTTTTGTAGTGACATTTTTCTTAGTATATACTACCTCCGTAAAGTTCTTCTCTTATTTACTTTTTGAGAATTCAAGGTAGAAATATTTTTATATTAACTTTCCAAAATACATCTGATGTGATGAGAAGTAGGTTATGATAGATAGATTATTAATAAAAAGGTATGATGTGATAAATATGATAAAAATTAGTAAAATTAAAAGTGATTTTTAATAAAAAAGAATGAGTTTGTGAGACAATAAAATAAGAAAAGAGAATGAGTTTAGAGGAGATAGAGAGTATTATAGTCACATCATATCACTATTTTGACAACAAAAATAATAATTATATATGAGTGTGTGATTCAAATAATTAATAATTATCAGTGTGTCAAATTTCAGTATCAAAGTTATATTGGTGTGCCAATTGGCTATTACGTGATTGATATTTTGATCTGAGATTTCTGATTTTTCTATATAAGAATATCAGAATATTTTAAGTATGGAAATAATATTAAGTGGTGAAATATATGGAGTATAAATTTGGTGTATAATTTATTATTAGCATCACGTGTCAATGTATCTAGCTAAAACACGTTTTGTAAAGTACAATGCATGCAGGATATACTACGTTCTCCGTAATACTCGTGTGTGTATATATATACTATCTTCCTCTTTATCAAGAGACCAACAATTAGTCAAGAGGGAAATACTTTAATTTAATAAGATGATGGGTTTAGTGTGCCGCAAGGACTCCAATGGACGCACTCTAATGCTTACTACTCTATGTGTAATTATGATGATAAATCACCTTGTAGCCGGTATGCTACATCATATATTCATCTAATAGCATTTCTTTTAATAGTTTTGATATATATATATATATATATATAGACACACACATCACAAGGTCAAACTTATTCACTTTGTTGGCCTATTTTCGTCATCCATTTGATAAACTAATTTGATCATTTTTTAATAAGTAGAGAGATTTCTACCATTACAATTTCTTGTTTGGCTATGGTTTCTTTAGGTTCGGTGGTGAATGGTGGGAAGCAAAATGTGCTGCTGGATCCGAATTGGCCGTGCCCTGTAGATATACCGTGCAAAACGGATGCTGACTGTGTTGTCCCGTGCAAGGACCGTGGGGGTGGCAGCTGCCTCACCTTCGGGGATAGTCCCTATTACTATTGTTGTTGTCCCAAACCAGATGTTTTGAATTAATCTTATGAAATCCTAACCAAGGAAAGTGACCTTTCTATGTGTGTGTTAATGCTCAAAAATATTAAATAAATATTGTTTTTATTATTTTTTATTTTTATTTTTGTTTTAGTATTTTTTTTATTATAAAGATTGTTCCATACTTGTTCCATGCCTAAATAAATTTCACCGTCGCATGTTGGAAATGAACTTCATCATCTTTTTCTATTATTTCCTTTGTCTCAGTATTGTTGCGCTTTATACTTCTCGATTATCGATGTAATACTGTGACCATCAATAAGTATTTTGTTTATTTCAATCTAAATAAATGTTATTAAAATTGATATATTAAATTAACATCTTAAAATTAATTCAATTATATTTAATTTATATTATAAATAATCACTTTGTTCCAAATTATTATTTGTATTAGTTTGATTTTTTATATTAATTCTAATTATAAATTGTAAGAAAAGTATATTTAATTGCTACGGAGTAATATAATTAGGTTCAATTTATATTTAGTTGAGAGTGATGCATTTTACAATGTAAAATTTGCACTAAATAGGACTAAAACATAATGAATTTCCTAATGTAGGACTTAAACTTTTTTATTTTCTAAATAGGACTTAATAATGACCTAGTGGGAGGAATAATGTCCATAATGATGGAAATTTACTTGAATAATGACTACTTCATAATGATCAAAGGTCCTACATTAGGAAATAAAAACATATGGTCCTATATTGGGAAAGTCATTATGTTTTAGTCCTATTTAGGTAAATTACTCTTTTACAATTTAGAATGAATTGAGAATGATGCATTTTACAATTGAGAATGAATTGAATAAACAATTCAATGAGTATTCACTTTCTTTGCTTTTACAACTCGATTTACTTTCTCACACATTAGATATTAGATATGAATAAACGAGAACATAAGGGCATTGGAATTGGCTTAGCGCCCTGTGCGTCAAACCGGTGTTTAACGCCGTTATGGCGATAAACCGCCCCCTACTCCGTCATATCGGCGTCAGATGGCATGCGTTAAATGTTTAACGCAGCTGAATGGCCGAAAGAGTCGTTCCCCACCCTCCCCCCACCCCAATGTTCAATAATTTGGCCCTTGGCAATTATTTTTAAAAGTAAACTTCAATTATAATACTCTCTCATATGTTAAAAATATACACACCACATATTTCATTATCCCAAACAATTTTCTAATTTTTTTCTTATATTTCATATCCTTTCTCTTCTTTTTAAATTTTTATCATGAAATCATTCGATCCTCAGTTCCACCTGGCCCTCATGCCGGTCTTGAGCACGTCGGAAGAGTCACAAGGTGGACTCGAGGAACAAAAAGTCGATGATCGAGGCGACACGATCAATTAAAAATTAGGCATCGGTAGAAAACCTTGTTGGCATCTGCGTGGGTCGATGTCTCGGAGCATCCTATCATTGGTAATTCTTATAAGTTCTTTTATAAACATTGCTCGGAGCATCCGACGTCACGGTCATACGAACGATGTCAATATTCTGCAGCAAGCCACTGCCCGGTATCAAGACGATAGACATCAAGGCAAAATATCCATTAATTTCTAAAAATGTTTTAGCCATTCATCAAAATGCAACAACTCTCCAAGGAGGAACAAAAAGTTGATGACCGAGGCGGCACAGTTAATTCAAAATTAGGTATCAGAAGAAAATCTTGTTGGCATCTGTGTGGGTCGACGTCTCGAAGCATCCTATCATTGGTAATTCTTATATGTTCTTTTATAAACATTGCTCGGAGCATCCGACGTCATGGTCATACGAATGATGTCAATATTCTGTAGCAAGCCACTGCCCGGTATCAAGACGATAGACATCAAGGCAAAATATCAATTAATTTCTAAAAGAGAAATTTACCTAAATAAGACTAAAACATCATGACTTTTTCAATATAGGACTATATGTTTTTATTTTCCAATGTAGGCCTTTTGGTCATTATCAATTAGTCATTATTCAACTAAATGTCCATCATTACTGGAGATTATTCTTCCCACTAGACATTAAGTCCTATTTAGGGAATAAAAAAGTTTTAGTCCTATTTAGTGCAAATTTCACTTTCTAAAAATGTTTAAGCCATTCATCAAAATGCAACAACTCTCCAACCCCGAGACCGAATTGTCAATGAAAAAATCCTCCGCCGAGATTGACGTGGAGGATACTATCGACTCAAACAAAGGCCTCTCATCAACTTAGACAGCTCCGACGACAAGGACTCCATTCCACAACCGATCAGTATAAGGAGTATCAAAAGTTAAATTATTCAAAATTGATGTTGGAACATCATATAAATTACAGAGTATGATTATTCAAATATTCGTTTAGATTTCGTTAACTATTCGAATATTAATCAAATACAAATTTAAATCTTATTTTAAATTTGTCTCACATTCAGATCCGGATTTGTATTCAAAAAATTAAACAAATACAAATTCAAATATCTCTATATTCACTTCCATTCGGTTTGCTTACATAGGCAAACAGATTACTGTAAATTTAAAACTTGCTACTTCTGTAAGGTTGACAGAGGAAGCTAAGATCACCGGAAATGGTCTTGAAGCCCCGGGGCTTCAAACTTCCTCTCTTTGTCACGTCACCTTTAACTTACCTCACTAATTTACTGAAAATGGATTTGAAGCCCTGACGCTTCAAATTGGGGCTTCAAACCTTTAATTTTTATATTTTAAATACACATATTCTAAATTTGAATTAATAAAATTTAATTATTTAATTTTATTGATTAAAAAATTACATTCATGAACAAAAACTACATTCATTAGTTTAAAAAAATTACATTTGTTCATTAAAAAAATTACATTCATGAACAATAAATACATTCATTGATTTTAAAAAATTACATTTGTTCATTAAAAAATTACATTCATTAATTAAAATAATAGATTCATTAATAAAAAAATACATTCATTAATAAAAAAATTACATTCATTGAATAAAAGAAATAGAGTAAATTCCATAATTGGTCCTTTATAACAGGACGGTTTCCCTATTTAGTCCTCTATTATCAGATATTACGCTAGTGGTCCTTCTTTTATGGGTATCTTTCCACAAATAGTCCTTTTTTCGATCTTCTATCATGTTGGTGTTAATTTGAGGGCTAAAAGTGTAATTTCGCAATGATAATATATTTTTTTTGTCATACACAATTCCAAAGGCTATTCCGTTTCCATCGTTTGTGAATTACAGTCGTTTTCTACTACAACCATAGTCTACAAATGTAGTCTTTCGTCGGAATCCTAGCCCACAATCATAGTCATTATTTTTGTGTTATCCGCTTAACCAATATCAGAACATGTCACTAAACATAATGTTGATGTCAAATTATACTTTTAGCCTTTAAATTAATATCAACATGCCAAAAGATCAAAAAAAAGTACCATTTGTGAAAAGGTACCCTTAAAAAAAGGACTACGGAGGTAATATTTGAAAATAAAGGACTAAAAATGGAAACCCCCTGTTATAAAGGACCAATTATGGAATTTACTCAAAGAAATATAAGTTGCCATAAAGGGAAAGGGGGCGGTGGGGGCTCCAACGACTTAATTTTGGTTTACAATTTTCGTCAAAAGTTTGAGGCTGCGAAAATATGCAAATTATATCATACATCCGGGGTTGTACCAAATTTTCGGTACAACCTGCTAATTGAGGAAGGAATAAGATGGAACCGAAGCCGTCGGAATTTCTGCCGCTCCTCTATTTGCCGGGGCGGGCCATCAGAGACGATGGAGCAGCAAAGACGGAAGACGATGGAGCAACGAAGATGACGAGGAGCGATGGTGGCGAAAGTCCGGCGAAAACGATGGAGAAGGAAGATCTAAGGAGCACCGAAGGTGGCAGCGGCATTACATATTGAGGTTGCGGGTCGGGTCTCATAGATCGAGGAGGAAAGCCGCGGTAGATGGGAGGAGAGGCGGGATGAAAACCCTAGTTGCAGATAAAAGATTATTTATGGTATGTGTTTTATTTTTTTTTGAGAATGAATATTAAGTTATTTGAGAATGAATACTATTTTTATTCAGAATTAACACTACATTATTTGTGGATAAATATTATAATTGAATTGAATAAATGTGTGAAAATGAGTATTAATGTTAGAGAAGGAGGAAGATGGTTGCAGTGTAATCACTAGATCAGCGTTAGGTTTCGTCCGTCGTTCGCTTTCAAGCCCTCACCAGCATCCTCCTGTTCGGAATGAAACGGAGAAATCTGACGAATGCTCATAAAGTGAGTCGATATAAGGCAAGTTTTCAGAAATTTAGTAGAATGCATTTTCATTTATTGGAACGCATTGATGTTTCCATTTCCATTGTCCATTCAGTGAATTATTCGGTAAATTTATATGGTTAGCAATTTATTGTTTAGCACCTTGAAATTAGGTGTGCTCCATGTAATTTTTTCCCTCTGAAAACTCTGATTTTCACTGCTCTGTATGCATTTTGTATGGTTAACCTCTGCTATTGGCATATTCAGACTGTTGCTTTCTGAATGCTCTTTAATTTCAGGTTCTCTGGAGCTAATTTTAATTTGACAAATGAAAGAAAGCTTCCGAATTCTCATCAGCGATCTTGCAGAAAAATCAATTTTATTATTATTTTTTCTCTAATGCTAGCTGTTTATGGTGAACTTACAATTCTATTAGCTTGAGCCCTTTATAATGTTTTCCTTTTTCTTTATAATGTACAGATCAAATAACCAAACCAAGTTATTGGTCTGATTTTTTAGACCCCCTCTTCTCAAAAGTTTCCATGGACAAAGCTGATGTGTGGACTGTGTATAAGACTATAAGGTATTTTCATAATTCCTTTTGTATACGATAAATTTATTGTTACTCATTTGTGTCTGTTTCTCTTATATTTACTTATTATATAGTTGATTACAGTGCATTGTACGCGCAACAGAAAAAAGAATGTGTAAAGAATGCTATTATATGAACACTACAATGTTAGCTATTGTGGTTATAAAATGATTACTCTATTACATAATAGTATATGAAATGGAAATGGAAACTACAATGAAGAACGACATGCTCATCAATATTGGCAAAGATGCTTCACTTGAGGCAATTGTGTTTGCTTCTTTTGCTTGACCTGAGAATTGAAGAAATTAAAAAGAAAAAAAAAACTTGTAGAATAATAAATTTCTCAACCAAAATAGAACGGGAGAGGAAATTGGGATTTGTAGAAATGAAAACTCACAATTTGACGGTTTCCATCCTAGAACTAGTTTTTCTCGGTCAAATACAAGATGGTAGCCCGTCATAAAATTCTCTGGAGAAATGATTAGTACTCTGTATTAACTATCAAATCATGGATTATCAATACAAATGCTAACAATGATCATCAATTCAATTCTCTGGAGAAATGATTATTAGTATTAACTATCAATTCAAAGTTTTTTTTAGAAGTCCAAAACTCCAAATTGTCTAATTTGTATTGAACAACTAGCTAACTGAGAATTCGAACCCTCGAGGTCACATATTAGGTGCAAGTGCAACCAAACCAAATAACTTTGTTCAATACACTGTATTTTAAAATTTATACTCAATAGTGGAATACATGAATCTATATATTAAGTAATAGTTACTTACGCCCAATTATGTTGACTCTGTTATCTTTAAGAATGCCTAAACAATAGTGTGTTTGTGTGCTTATCTGCAAGTATTAAAATAATGTGTTAGTACATTCAAAGAAAAGTAGTTTAAAGAAAAAAAAGAGTAAGGAACCATATATACCTTAGACTTAAGTTTTAAAGTGGGATCGATAACATGGAAATCTGACCCTCCTTTTGTCTTCATGTTCAAAGAAGGTGTCCAATATGAGGTATTGCTAGTTCTGCAAAACAAATATATAATACTAGTAAACAAATAGGTAATGCAAATAAATAGAGCAAATTAAAACACCTTTCTTTATTTTCAACTCACTCCGTTGTATAGCAATATTCCAAAGGAACGTGAGGAATTAGTATGCGTGGGTCTTTCACAAAAGAATCAAGCTGCAAGATTATTGAATGCATGTTAGTCTTCGATTTTCAAAAAAACAGAAATGATAACTATTAAAAATCTTAATGAAGTCCCCTGCTTACATATTTTGTAACTAAGCTATATAATTCCTCCGTCAAGTGAGTGACAGTGGTGCCAGAGTCAAACACTGCTGCAAATTCGACATTGGTAACAACATTTTCCACGGATATTTGCTCTATGCGTATGTTGTATGACATACTGCGTCCATTAGATTAGCAACAACAATTTTGTTAAAAGTATTATTTTCATAATTTTATTGAATTGATTATAAAATGAAACTAACTTACCTTTCGTGTGGAGAGTCCAGTGGCGTTGTCCTCTGGTCAGCGTCGCCTTTGTCTCCAAACGCGATCCTACCATTTCCGTTGCTCGCAAAACACAATGAGAAAGAATTTCGAACAAATGCTTTGGATGATAAGAGGGTTGTCACATCCAGTTTTGCGTGCCCTAGGCCAAGTAAGCCATTGATCGAAGCGGCACGCAGAATATACCCAGTCTCAACTTCTCCACACCTAAAGATTTGTAAAAATTAACAACTTTTATATTGCACTCGCAAATTAACAAAAAACAGATGTATATTCTTACTCAATGCTCACCCAAATACCACTGGTGCACCAACAGGTTTGGATTTGTTGTCATAGGTTTCAAGGTGCACTGTATCCTTTACTAGAATGCCCTTGGTCGAAGTATTCTTAGACAAATACTTGACTTCATAAGGGCATGGCTTGAGGGCGAACAAAGGGCAGTGTTTCTTAGGCCAGCAGTCTGGGCTATTACAAAAAACAACCTCACTTGTGGATGATGAATGTGGGTTGTACGAGTTGAGATTAATTTTCTGTTTTCAGTAAAAAGAAATATAAAAATAAAATCATTAAGGTTAGTGGTCTGTATTGAGTATTAGAAGCAGAATAATTTTACATACTTCTCCTTTCGATGTTGTGAAGGAGCGTGCACAGTCCTTGCAACCGCACGGCAGCCAAGATATGACACTGCCAGTGTCAAGTGCAACAAGAAATGATACAGGCGGGGTCCCAACATATATTTCGGCATAATGGAGACTGAAAATTGAAATATATCAACCACATAAAATTTAATTATGAGGATATTATCACACCTAGTTTTCTTTACAAAACCAATGAAGGAAAGGGCATAAAAGACATAAACTGTGTGGTGTAACGGTGAAGCTATATTAGTGTGTGTGTGTGTGTGTGTCAGAAGAGCATAAAATTTAGTGTCAAAGTAAAAAAAGTAGGAGTGTGATTTTTTTTCAAGAGCATTTCAAAATTAGTGTATCAGAAGAGAACACAATTTAGTAATTCGAATGCAAATAGGCCTGTTATCTATGAAATATCTTATTTAGAATTTTAAATTTGATACTTTTAGTTGGTTTTTATCTTTTCAAATCACTAAGGCATGAATAAGTGATCCCTCTCTCAATTCATCCATCCTTTCCTTTGCGCTCTTTTGATGCTGAATTTCCATGCTGAATTAAAGGAAAAGTTTTTACTTGATATTCTTTGAGATGCATTTGCCAGTATATATACACTTATAGTTACCAAACAGAAACCATCAATGGATTTGAACTGACAGGTGCAAGTTAACAATAACAACAATATACTTGAACTTACTGTCCCAAATTATCGATTTGTGTAGTTACATCTCCCCCATCTGCAAAAGTAAGAGCCGGTAAATGTTGTTGTGTGGCAGAGAGCTGGCGGTGTTGATCGTAAGCACTCCACACCGTATAGTACTCAGTGGTACCCCTTTTGGGCAAGCCTGCGCTGCCCAAGACTCCCACGACCTTGTCGGAGTAGCGATGGTAAATGTTATGACTGTATTGTGCTATTACGTTGGAACAATGTAATTGCACTATCAGAAAAACAAGAAGAAAGCCATTTAGGGGGAATACTAGTTTAGCCATGACTTAAGAAGCTAAGCTAAGTAAGAAATAGATGATTAGAGGAATTTGAGATTATGGTAGTTAAGAGAATGGAAGAGATGATAGGATTTATATAGAGATGATTAGAGGATGTTCTGAATTGCTTTACTAGTGATATTGATAATATGAGCTCAAGGACTTCTATATATGCAGAGATTAATTGACTAGTTTGTGCTAAACTATATGGGGAGTAATGCATTATGTTTGTGTGTGTGGACATCCACTGACATATTTGATACTTTGGGTATTAGCTTACTAAGATGTAATCAAGGGTTACTTTTACACCTAGCTAGCATACAACAACATTACCCGGGTGCCTCAACGGCTCCCGCCCATTGCAGGGTAAAGGGGGGGGGGGGTGTCGGATGTACGCAGTCTGACCCCCATGTTTAAAACATAGAGCGGTTGTTTAAAACCTAGCTAGCATAAGCATTAAAAATACGTGTTAGGATCTCACACACAAAATTTAAGATGAAGAAATCGAAAATAAGATAAAGATCTCTCCAGATTTTAGAGATACAAGACGCCGAGAATTTTGTGGTAATGCTCAGTGGGTGAACTCCACTGCAATATCATGCTATATGTTGATGATTTCAGAGTATATCATACACACTAGAAAATGGCTACACAGAGAATAATAAAGGTACAATCTATGATTTCACGTTGAACCACGTGAAATAAAATATTATCAATATTTACATCAGACACCACTTTCCATTCCCTTGTGGAGCCAAAGATTCACTATTTTTTTGGCTTTGGAGTATGATGGAATAAAGCAAATTGGCTCTTTAAATTGTCTGCGCTTCTTGCAATTGTGAAGTAACAGTTAGTCAATGCAACTTTCGACCCTCATACACGGGTCATCTGGAAATTGTCGCTCTATGTCTTAAACATAGGGGCTATACTACGTACATCTGCCCCCCCCCCCTTACCCCACAATGGGCGGGAGCTATTGAGACACGGGTAATATTGTTGTTGTTTGTTGTATTTACATCAGACACCACAACCTAAATGTGAAATTCATTCTTTTTTTCATGCAAGCCATGCAGTATATAGTGGTTTATTCTTTTTACTAGGGGCTGAGAATTGGAGGCTGAGTTGAAGAAAAGGTAAACAAAAGTGTCACTCAAACATTAAATTTAGAAACCACATTAGAAAGTAATAATGGACTTCAGCATGTGTAAAGATTGATTTTTCATTACTTAGTGATTAAGCAGTGAATTGTTGACATTACACTCATAATAAAAGTAGCAATAGTATATAGAGTAATAACTACTCTGTAATAACTAACACATTACACATCTAAAACTAGTACTTATTAGTCATTATATTTATAACTAGCATTAAAATTAAAATGACAGAGAGAACTTTATTCTTTTCTTGTTTAGGAAATGTGGCCCAAACTATTGGCACCACTTTGTAAAAGGCTGAGTGGATGAATCCTTTATGCATCTCTGATAGAACCTTAAACATAGTAAGAGTTAACTGCAAAGTTCATCTTCACATTGTCTTGAAAACCTAACAACAAATTTTACTTAAAAATCTAACAGTAGCCACTGCATTATTGCTTCATTCCAAATTATCCTTGTTTGAAATACATTTAAACTTTCAATTTTTTACTCCTTCAGTTCCTAAAAGTATTTATTATTATTATTTTTACCATAATAATTGTCTTAATTTCTAAAATCAAGTGGGTATCTGATTGCTCATTTTATACAAGGGTGACTTCCCAAGATGGTCCTTTCTTATAAGGTATTTTCTCAAATTAGTCCTCAATAAGCAATAATTACCACCATGGTCCTTTGTAATTGAGATGTATTCCTTAAATAGTCCCCCATCAAAAATGTGTATTAGATAATAGTTAAATGGAGGGTATTTTTGTATTTTCCACCATCTAAACTATGAATAAGTCTTCAAAATGGTCCTTTCAAATTAAGTGAGTGGCTGCTAGAGAAACGGACCTACCCCGAGTAAGCTCATTGACTCCATTTTGAGAAAATATTTGCTTAAAAATTATCAGTTTGAAAAAACACTTAATTATAAAAGAGCATTTCGAGAACATACTTTAAGTCTATATGATACAAAATACTTTCCGTTTTGAGAATTCACTCATTTACACATTTACTATCATTCTTTATCTGTTGATGCACCATTCTACATCGTGGAGTATATCTTTAAAGTGCTGATGAGGGGTATTCCTGTCATATTTCATTATTATTTTTCTCCTGGAAGAAAGTTACTTATTCAATGCCATCATATGTGGTTGAGTACGTAATATTCATTTGAAATTTACAGTTTCTTATTTTCAACACAGGTTTAAGTGCCCAAGCTTTTAGACAAGTACTTATTGTTTTGTGCCATATGAAGAGTGTTTTTTTCAACTTTATATTGCAGTTATTCAAGATTCCAGTTCCCAAGCTTTAGACCCCACTAATCAAACTCATGTGTCCAGACTTTAATTTAAATTAATTCAACATTTGGACTCCAAATTTGAGTCTAATTTCAATTAATATACTACAACATTTAGACTGCATATTCCCATTACTAAATTTCAGACTTAAGTTTTCAGACTCTAGTAACACCAAGGTAAAAAAGAACATATGCCCCAACTATATGCTACTTAACATAAATGGGTGATCAAGGTGGATGCTTTTAAGCTGGTGACATGGAAGAGGACCACAACTCTTTTTCCTAATATGAAACTAAAAGCAATTAAGTTCCCCACAAAACACATCAGCTAGTTTTGTGCAGCATCTTGCACTACTCCATTTAAGTTGTCTTATATATGTTTTGTACCTATTTTGCTTTATCAATTTACCAGCTTTTGATGTTAAAATAGGCTACTAATAATACTGCCACTCACCTCCCCATGTGACCAGTACAAGTGCATTTGAATGCTTTTGTGGATTAATATCCTATTAGTATTGTTGCTTGCTACTTTGCTGGTAACTCACAGCAACAAGAGTGCGTAATGAGATAATGCATTTCATTTGTTCATTTTCTTCTTGTACTCGATTGGGCACGTAGATCAAGATAAAAGAAACTAGTTGAAAGTAGTGCAGAGAAAGAGAACTAATAATATCCACAAACACTTTTTCATGATGATGCTGAATTTGGGTTTTTTGCATTGGGGTTCAATGTCATATTATAACATTCCTCCAATTGAGGCAAGTATGGTATTTTGTTTGACCCTTAAATGATTCCTGCTCCTTAAACCCCCAATCTCAGCCTGCCCCCAATTGCACCTCCAAATTTGGTTGACATTTTTGTCAAAATTTTGACCAGGACATTAACCAAACTTTGGGTGAGAAATGTGTGTGTGCAGGGGCGGACCTACGTAGGTTACAGTGGGGTCAAGTGACACCACCGGAGTTTGTATAATTAACATATACCCCGGAGTATGTAGTATGCGGACTATGAGTAAAGGTGGCTCAGTTGGTTTGGTGCTCCATATTTTTTTGGGCTGCCTGGGATCGAACCCCATGGATGGTATAAACTCTTGAATTTTTGTTACTTACAAATCACACTTATTCAAGTCTTCTTTTCTTTATAATTTTTCCTAATTTATAATCTATTTACCTTTTGTTCATGAAATTTTTTATTTCTTCTCATGGAAAAGTTTTCAGGTTTATATTGGAACAATGAAAATAAATATAACTCTCCTTTCCTAAAAAAATTGGCCTCTTTGAGAATTTTTTATTGTGTATTTGTTGATTAATTTTTATTATTTCATTGAAAAAATGACATCATTCTTTATTATTTCTGGGTCTGCCACTATGTGTGGGGTGAGGATAGAGAGGGGTTTCAGAGGTAGGAATCATTTTTGGGTCAAACAGAATATCGTGCCTTTATTAGACCAATGCCATATTTTGACATTGGGACCTAATGCCGAAAGAACCCAAATCTGTTACATTATTCACATCCTACTTCTATTTGTGCTTCATCAAAATTCTCTTCTACTTCTTTTTAAACAAAAAAAGTTGTTTTATTTATATTCTCATGATTTGTTTTTTATCTTCTCTCTTTCTTTTTTTGATCCTCCTTAATTAATCTTTTCATTTCCTATTTAAGAATGAATCTTATGGTTCACATTCATTATCTCTCATATGTATAAGTTTCAATCACACAATTTTACCTTTTTAAAACTCCATATACGTCAAACGGAGAGGATAATTTAGGAAGATAGGGAGCATTATTTTTTTTGCTCTGCATAACCACAATTATACAAGTTCGTTTTTATTAAAAATGAGTAAATTTAAGAGTAAATTCTCAAAATAGTCCTTTGTAATAAAGAGTTTTTCCAAATTAGTCCTCAATAAGTTTTAATTACTTACGTGGTCCTCTATAATTGAGATTTATTCCCAAAATAGTCCTTTGTAATAAGGTATTTTCCCAAATCAGTCATCAATAAGTTTTAATTACCTATTTGGTCCTCTATAATTGAGATTTATTCCCAAGATGGTCCTTCATAAATAATGTTACTCAAATGAGGATTAATTGAGGTTTCTCTGCTAAATTTAGAATTAATTCTTAAAATAATCACTTATAATGAAGTGCTTTCCCAAATTGGTTTTTCTAATGAGTAATTAACCAAAATAGGACTAAAACATAATGACTTTTTCAAAATATGATCATATATTTTTATTTCCCAATGTAGGACCATTGGTCATTATTTATTAGTTATTATTCGACTAAATATTTAGCATTATCTAGATATTATTATTCTCACTAGTCATTATTAAGTCTTATTTAGGGAATAAAAAAATTTAGGTCCTACATATGAAAATGACTTATGTTTTAGTCCTATTTACTGCAAATTTCACTTTTTTTCTAATTAAAGATGTGTTTTTGATTTAAAATTTAAAAGATTTTTTTAAGTTTAAATAATTCATAAATTATTTATGAGTAAATTCTCAAAATGGTCCTTTGTAATAAGGTATTTTCCAAAATCAGTCATCAAATGATGATTAATTGGGAGATATTTTGGTATTTTGATCATCCAAATTTAAAGTATATTTTCGAAACAATCATTTTTGTACAACTAAATGTAAAATTTAAAAATACATTGACTATAAATAATGTATTAATTATTTAAAACTTAAAAAAATCTTTTAAATTTCAAATTAAATATACATCTTTGATTAGAAAAATCATTTTGGGAAAGCACTTCATTATACATGATTATTTTAGGAATTAATTCTAAATTTAGCGGATAAAAAATAACACCAATTAATCCTCATTTGAGTAATATTATTTACGAAGGACCATTTTGGAATAAATCTCAATTACAGAAGACCACGTAGGTAATTAAAACTTATTGAGGACTGATTTGGAAAAATATCTTATTATAAAGGACTATTTTGGGAATAAATCCTATTATAGAGGACTACGCAAGTAATTAAAACTTATTGAGGACTAATTTGTGAAAACCTTTTATTACAAAGGACTATTTTGGGAATTTACTCTAAATTTAATGAAAGGGTTTCATGATTTGCGTGTTCTATATGCTATGGGCCAAGCCATGTTCATTTCATTAGTTAATTGGGTGGGCTTGAATAAAATACCAGCTCTGTCCTTGCAAGTCGGGCCTGTGATTTTTATACTGATATGTGTGTATAAATATACTCAGTAGTCACTAGTCAGTATATGGCTACTATTGTTATACTCCCTCCATTATGAAAATATCTTTCTAATTTGGCACAATTTTTAATAAAGTGAAATATGGATGGTTTGTGTAGAGAAACAAGAATTGATATGGACCATATATTTATTTTCATTCTCCAAAAGGTGAAATCGCTCACCCCGGGCGCCCCTCACCCCCGACCCGACGGGAATGTGAGAGGAGGTAAATCACGGTGACCCAAGCACAACACTTAGCTAGACCATATCCTAGTGCGCACCAGAGACTCCCCCCATTTTTCAGAGGTGGTCGCCTCCACAATGGTCGCTGCCAGGTTTCGATCCTTGGTCATTCTCCAAACTTCACCAAGTGCTTGCCACTTGGGCTACCCGTGCGGGTATATATTATATTATATTTATTTTCATAAAAGGAAAGAGAAGAGAAATTTCGGGACAATTCAAATAGTAAAGAAGGAAGATAATTATACAACTAAAGAAGTACCTGTTGGTATTTATTAATTGAAGTTAAGTGCCCCACACTTAGGGTGGACAGTCTAGTAGCGGTAAATTAAATTTAGAAACAATATGTGTCTGGTAATTTGGCGTGGAGGGAAACACATATTTCGAGTGAAATACTCTTTATAAATTAGTACTACCTCCGTCCCATTGTCTTTGTCCATTTTTTACTTTTGGAACTATTCATCTAAGCACTTTGACTCATCAAATTCTCTTAATGTGTAAGCCTAAAAATAGTCATGTGTGATCTTGTTTGATTCGTCTTAACATATAGATTATTAATATATAATTTGTATAATTTTTTAATATACAAATTACAAGATAAAATTGATTAAAGAAGTGCATTGGATGGTGTGCCAAAAGGTAAGTGGACAAAGACAGTGGGACGGAGCGAGTACAATTTTCATCTCTAGTGAAACCTATCTATTTGTATGATTTGGATATATTTCACTTTGGGTATATTTTGGTTTCGGATATATTTGTATATATGTTATTTTTGAATTAAAATTTTACTATCTGTTCATTTTTTTCATAGCACATTTATCAATCTATCATCGATTATCACCTCGTATTATTTTATATTTTTTTCTAATTATACTCCCTTTGCCCTAAATATCTTCAATTTTACTCCGTATCTTATGAGTCATATTTTATAAATTTGAATTACAAATTATATTTAATTTTGATATAAAATAAATATGTTAGATTCCCAAATTACATACAATTTGGTAAAAATATATTGAAATTTAATGCAATTGGATAAAATTTGAGTGAAATTAAATGCAAGTTCATGCACATGTTTGGCTAACCACACAATATTGCATGAGAGTGGGTCAAATAATATCTTTTTAACCATGCTCTAGTTTGTATAAATTTTTACTTACTTTATGTAAGTTGTATTGTTCAATTTTATTTTAATTTATAAATAAAATAATTTTAAAACATAAAAAATTTTACATTTTGTTTAGATATGGTAAATCATTTTGGGACATAGCCACATAGGGAGTAAGAAATATAAGTACTCAGTATATAACTAGATCAAATGTTAAAATAAAACTAAGAATTTAAATTCACTTGAATATAATCGTTCACTAATCTACATAAATATAATATATTTATTGTCAGGTAGAATCAATTTCACATATAATCGGTTTTGGGTCTTATCGAATTTGGGTTTAACCGATTTCAGATCTAATCAGTTCTGGATCTAATCGGTCAAATTTAATTGGTCTTGGATCTAATGAATCATTTTGGTTATAAATCAGATCTTCACTTTTTGGATCATTTCGATTTCGGATCGTTCAGTTCGGGTAATTTGTTCTGGTTCTGTTTTGAGAGGTATATATATGAACTTCAACAATTCAACTTGGTGGGAGGACCATTTGCAAAAAAAAAAAAAAAACATATACTCTCTATCTTAAAAAGTCTTTTCATTTTTATTCTTCGTTTGAATCAAAAGGTACTTATACTTTCAATTTAATTTTTTTTCTTTTATCCTTAGTAATTACCTAATGTTAACTTATTTATCACATCATATCTGTTTACTATTAATTATAAATCACATCCTTACTCTATTACTCCCTTTGTTCCACATTAAATTGTTTGTTTACTATTCATAGAGACAAACTTTATTTAGTTTTTTTTCCATTCTCATTAGTTATTTGATGAAATAATATAGTTATGTTACCACTAGTTTTGTAGACCTTATGATATAGTTTTTAAATATGTAATTTTATTTTTAAATCTTACATCATTTTTATACAAAATAATTTAAAAATGTCAAATATCGTAAACCAGAACTGGTAATTTAAATTGGGGGCGGAGAGAGTATAAAGTAAGGATGAAATTGGAAAGTAATATCCGTACTAAAGTTACATTCTTAAATCTCACAGCTTTTCAAAGCGGAATAATTTTTTTAGGATGGAGGTAAGGTATTTTACAGGAATCAAAACCAAAACCCGGCTATCATAAAGTCATAAACATATGTAGGTCATGTTCTCTTCATCTGATCTGATTAGTTCTGATCTGCTCTTAATTGAATGTAATTATATTCAAAATTATTCCTAATCATATCTGATCTGGTCTGATTTGATCTAATTCCAATAAGAATAAATAATAAGTAAAAAAAAAATAACTAGCTGAAATCTGAATCATATTCTGTGGTTTTTTATTAGATCTCTATCTCTCTCTTAAATTTTGTTGAATTTGTGGTCAAAATTTTTACCATGAAGTCAATAAATGGCAAAGTTGCGGACTTGCGGGGATGTGTTTGGACTGTGCTCAACTTGGGGGATTTACCGGGGG